CTCCCTCCCTCCCTCTCTCCCTCCCTCCCTTCTATAGTTCCTCCCTCCCTCCTTTTCTCTTTTATGCTGGGCCTTGAGCATGCTAGGTAAACTCACTGTCTATATCCCTGCCCCCTATTTAATGACTCTGAATGCCCCTTTTCATCCCAACTCCCACCCTCATGAACTTTATTACCTTTGGAGATGATCAGGCTAGATAAGAGACAAGGGAATCCATGCACGAGAACCTATACAACTTTAATTGCTCTTATAATTATTTTGCTTTTATATCATATTTTCTAAGTCATTGGAAAAAGAACAGGATCCTGGATCTTGTTCATAGACTGCTGTCCGGGGATGAAGCAAGCCCTGGAGTAGGTGGCCTAAATGATGGTAGAGCTAGATGGAATGTAGTATGGTGGGAAAAGCTCAGTGTCTTAGGGATGTATCAAGATCTGGTCACTGTCCCGGCAAGCATTATTGAATGGGTGATAGGAGACAAAGCCGAGAATCATTGGTAGAGATACCAGCTGGGCAGCCATTGATATTTCAGCACTCTGGTCATCTTGGTGGTGACCTGTCACTGGCCTGGGGGATTACATTTGGGAAAGCAGGGACATTCAGTTGCCTTTAGGGTCAGATGAAGGAAGCTTAATTCCAGAACTCCTAAGGGGGCTGGTCTAGAGAATTCTGTCTCAGGTCAGAAAGGGTTCTAGGAATGGGGACACAGGAGTCTCAGGCTAAAAATGTTACTGAAAAATGACTGTGGCGGACAGATGAATAGGTGTGGGAGCTGAGGGCTGGGGAAGCATTAAATTAATATTTAGGATATCTTCCCCCTTTTATTGTCCCAAGATACTATTCTTAACAACACATTGTGTATATTTTTCTTAGATTCATGAGTATTTCTGATGTTTCAACTTATGTGAGAGCTAGAAGTTGGCTTATAAAGTTTAAAACCATGTTAACTTACTTGGAATATCACAAAGAAAGGATACTTTTCACTGTACCTGGGTAAGTATTATGAACCTTTAAGACTGTCATACTCAGAATATCACCATTTCAGCGTTTTTAGAATAGAACCCCCCATTTAAACTAATTTTGTGGCAGATGTTTTACAGGTTAAGTGGTGACTGAACAGTTTGCCTCTTCTATTCTGCTTTAGCAATTTCATTGACATGCTTATGAAAGAAAGTGATGGCATTTTAAGGCTAGCTCACATACTATGTTTCTTGCACTATTCATCACGGTAGAGGACTACACAAGGGTGAACCATAACTACAGTGGGCTGAATCTAGCTCAGTGCAAATATTTGGAATAAGATAGTTGTATCAATATCTAAAATTAAGGGAAAATCAACACTAAAGAATGCCTACCACTGATTTTCCAAAATACTATAAAATACATATTTTGCTTAACATGGATAGAATTTTTACTTTGATATATAGACCATGAAGTCATATAATTTTTAGAGCCAGAAAACAACTTTTTTTCCAACAGAGGATGTCAAAAACAAGAACGTAGCAGGAATATTTTTGCTTTCTTCTATTGAATACATTTAAAAAGAACATTTAAAAAGTAAACCTAGCATCTCATCGTATGTTCAGGAGCATTCATTTCATTTCTCATTGCTGTGATGGGACACTGGACACGAAGCAGCTCAAGGAAGAATAATTTTGGCTCACAGTTTGAGGGGGGCATGGGCCATCATGGCAGAGGAAGGGTAACCCTGCTAGTTCAGACCTTGGCAGACCAGGAAGCACTGAGAGATGAGTGTCTGTCTGTCCCTGTCTCCTTCCTTCCCTCCCCCTTTCCTCTGTACCCTCTCCACCCCCACAGACACAGCTGCTGTGTGTTTATGATTCCAACAGCCATGTCTTATCCAGAAGACAGCTCCCCATCATATTCTTCTCCATCCTTTGGTTCTCACAATCCTTGCACCTCTCTTTCAAGATGTTCCTCGAGCCTCAGAGGAGGCCACATAAATGTTCCATTTGAGTTCAAGTACTCAGCTGTGCCTTATTCTCATCGTTTTGACCAGTCATGGGTCCCACTTGGACTGCAGCCCACTCCACTGTAAAAGATGCTTCTCTGTTGGAGGCTGAGAGCTGTGTGATTCTATGGGCGCACACACACACACACACACACACACACACACACACACACACACACACACACACTTGGAAGGCAGTTTAACTACCTGTCCATTTGACAAAGCATCAGCTGCAGGTCCACTGTAAGGACTGTGAGCTCCCTAGCCGTGGGCTTTTGGCCAGATATATAGTGGCAGGCATACCTCAAATCTGATCAAGATATGGTTGTTTCTCTTAGAATATCCTTGCCAATACTGAACCTGTGGGCATATCTTGCCAGGCAGTTCAACACGGAAACCCTCAAGGTCTACAGCGCATGTGGCTATTTTCTCTATTGACAGCCTATATAACACCTTCCATCACTATGAATGTGAGCCAGCAAGGAGGAAGCTTCCAGCTCAGTCTCAGCTTCATTTTCTGTGTTCTGTATCCAGAGTGTGTGTTGTCTTCAGCAATAAGGACTTAGAATTGTAGTTGTTGGTTTTTTATTCTTTACTCTGGTGATTATTGAGTACTTTTCCTGTTTAAAATTTTGAAACAATGCTGATGAACAACACACTTTCCACTGTTCATTGTTTTTTGCTTTTGATTTATTATACATATTAACAGAGTCATCCCTTTGTCTTCCTCTAGTATAATCTCTATGTAAAGTGTGCTAGTTATTATTATTAATAGTAGTAGTAATATTTTGTTTTTTTGGAGACAGGGTTTCTCTGTGTAACCCTGGCTGTCCTGGAACTCACTCTGTAGACCAGGCTGGCCTCAAACACAGTGACTAGCCTGCCTCTGCCTCCTGAGTGCTGGGACTAAAGGCTTGTGCCACCATGCCTGGCTGTATGCCTGTTACTTTTATTATGTATTTCATATTATTTCTAGTTTGATTAGTTTAGACAGATGTTGGACTTCACTGCTTACTCATTATGCTTTAATGACCTGATATTTTATTTGCTCTTATTTTTTCAGGAATAATAAATTTCTGATTTTAGTCTATCGAATTATAATTTCAGAAGAATTTGAATATGCAACATATATTGTAACAGTAATGTATATTTTCCCTATGATAATACACATATGGCCAACTGCAAGAGAGTTAAACATATCGGCACTGATATCCATAAACTACTATTTTATGTTTTTATATACATTAGAATCAGCACTGAAGGTACTGTGGAAAATAGAAATATGTTGTACAGAAAAGAATAATTCAGATATTTTGAATCCATTTTTTGCTACCTTATTATCAAAATAATTTGATACCAGAAGCTATTTGTTATTACAGCTGATAGATCCTGGGATGTTCTCAGCCTTAGTGCCAGCCTTGACCATAAGCTACGTCTCGTAAAAGTAGAGAGACACCCAAGGATTGGGTGATAGAAAACTGATATTTCTGTATAAATGCTTCCCTCAGATTCTTCCTGAAATAATTCAGGGAATGAATAAACAAATACAAATGAATTGGCTTGAGGGCCACATGCCTGGATAGGTGGCTCGGTGATAGTTTTATCGTGCTTCATTATAAGTAGTACTGCTGCTGCAAACTTGTCTGCTGCTTTTAAAATTATTATTTTGGTATTGTGGCTCCATTATAGATTCTTTTTTCTAAATTTTATTTATTCATTATGTATACAACATTCTGCTTCCATGTATATCTGCACATCAGAAGAGGGCACCAGATCTTAACGGGTGGTTGTGAGCCACCATATGGTTGCTGGGAATTGAACTCAGGACCTCTGGAAGAGCAGCCAGTGCTCTTAATCTCTGAGCCATCTCTCCAGCCCCTCCATTATAGATTCTATATTTTGAGTCTCGTTAAACATTTTGATGTGGGAAATTAAAAATTTAGGGAAATTCCAGACAAGTAGCTTAAAATTCAGCTTTTAGAATACAACTCAATACGGCTGGAGAGATGGCTTGGTGCTTAAGAATGGGCACTGCTCTTACAGAGGGTCTGAGTTCAGTTCCCAGAAGCCACTCTGAGTGGCTCACAAGTAACCATTGTAGGCAGAGGTTTCTCTATACTGTCAGTCAGCTCTGTCTCATCGGCTGGCTCCCAAATAACCACACAGAGACTTAATATTAATTATAAATGCGTGGCTGATAGCTTAGGATTGTTTTTAGCTAGCTCTTATAACTTAAATCAACCCATTTCTATTCATCCATGTGCTGCCCCGGGGCTCGTTTGCCTTATGTACGTGCTTCCCATCCTGCTCGCTCTGCATCTCATGGCATCTCCTCCGACTCTGCCCTTCTTCTCCCTAGCATTCTCTCCACCACAAACATCCTGTCTAGCAATCAGTCAATCAGTTTTCTTTTTTTTTTTTAAATGAAAGCAACACAACTTCACAGTGTACAGAAGGATTATTCCACAGCAACCCATAACTGTAACTCCAGATCCAGGGCATCCGATGCTCTCTTCTGGACTCCATGAGTTCCTGCACACTGGTGGTATATACAAACATACACTCAGATGAATACACACATACACATAAAATAAAAAATAACATCTAGGATACAATTAATTTCTAGTTAACTTACAATTTTAAATGTTTCCCTCTCCCCTATGTCAATATATTGTTATTATGGAGTAACATATATTCTGTTTGTTTTTTTAAACAGATGCTAATTTTAAAAAGGAAATATTTTCTTCAGAATTGGAATACTTTGGATTTTTTCATCATAGTTATAGGAATCGTTGATATATTGTGCATATACTTTGTAAAGCTGAGACCAGACAGCTTGATTCTCATTCAGTTTACAGTGGTAATAGGATATTTAAGAATAATTAGGTTTCTACCTATCTTTAAGGTAAGGCTTCCTGTGTTAAAATATCGGTTTGCTGCGTGGTTTACTAAGGGATTTAATAAGCTTTGCTCTTATGAGAGAAAGGAGAAAAGGAGCTGCCTCTTCCAGAATGTTCTTTGAGTAGACACCTGCTTGGTTTGCTCTCTTACCTTCCTTCTGTATTCCATGGGCAGCACATGGATGAATAGAAATGGGTTGATTTAAGTTATAAGAGCTAGCTAAAAACAATCCTAAGCTATCAGCCACGCATTTATAATGAATATTAAGTCTCTGTGTGGTTATTTGGGAGCCAGCCGATGAGACAGAGCTGACTGACAGTATAGAGAAACCTCTGCCTACACCTTGCCTTCACAGAGGCTTTTCCAATTACACCAGACAAAAGCAGAGACCCGAGTGCTACATCTCAGCTTTATACTCCATTCTTTTGGTCTTCCTCCATCTGCCTAGTTTTTATTTTCCTTCCATTTATTAGTGCTACAAATTTAGTGTTCATGAGAATTGTTATGCAGAATTGTATGTGTAAAACCCACTTAAGGGACTAACTGTGATTCTGTGGCATTTGCTTTAGGAGTTGAGATATGAGCTAAGAACTCATGTTAGGTGTAATTATATAATGCAAACAACTGGAAATCAAAAGTAGTAGTGAGGCTAAGACATAGCATGGAAGAATTTTCTCTAGACAATCAGTTTTTATTTAGATGTCTTGTGCACATAGATGCAAGGTAATTTTATTTTTATGAAACAGGATTTCTCTTTGTAGCCCGGGCTGTCCTGTAACTCACTCTGTAGACCAGGCTGGCCTTGAACTCAGAAGTTCCCTCCCTCTGCCTCCCAAATGCTGGGATTAATGGCATGTGCCACCACTGCCCAGGACAAGATAATCATTTTAGAAGTAGTGGTACTCTATGAAAAGTTTTAAAGGTGGAATAAAGTTTTAAAAACCCATTTTTGTGTAAGCCAAGTTGTTGTGTGGCTTTTAGGGAATAGATGTGAAAAAACTGTATATTTCAGAGGAGGAGTCAAAGTAGAGATTTCAAGTCCATCTTTGCAATCTTGTGAGTTTATTGGGTTTTCTTAACAGGAGTATGAATGAGGGATTGCTTACAGGGGTGACTCAGAGTTGACAGGTCAGTTTCCTTTCCCCATCAGTCCTTATCTTTATATAATTTTGGGAAGAGGCCTTGTGAGACTTGTAAGTTTCAGGGACTTTCTGATACTTTTGAGTGGTTTACTTCCTGAGACTTAAGAAGCCTTCTTCCATAATAGAATGTTTCAATTTAGAGGATATTGTTAAACAGACACAAATCTACTGAGAGTGTGCCCAGCAATTCTCAATCAGTTAGCCTTTCTGTCTTGTACTGCCTGAACAAAATTATAAATACAATGGATTTAATATTATTACATAGTTGGGTTTTTAAATTAAGTATTTTCTTTTGCCAGGAACTGGGGAAAGTACTTTATATAACTTATCCAGTTAAACTCTTATAATAACCTTCTGAGGTAGTTGTAATTTCTACATAAAGTTAGGTGCCCTAAACATTAGAGTCAGTCCAATGTGACTTTGAAAAGAAATATATATGTCTCAGTGAAGGTCAGGAGAATATTGGAGATCTTTATTTCATATGCCCTGGGAGTCAGTGGTCAACTCAGGTGGTGTCAGTGTGTCACAGAGGAAGGCTCTGAAAACATTTTCTTTAAACAAGATCCCTCTATCCCCAAATTCATAATCAAAATGGCAGCTGATAAAGTCATACTCTGTTGTTTTAATTCCTGCACTATTTTCTGGTTATTTTCTCCTCTCTTGATATTGAGTCTCTCACCAAATACCCCTGTGCTCTGGCCCAGCATGGTCTCTGTGGGAAGCCCCTTGCTGTGCTTTTGACAGTTGGCTTTGGAGCAGTGGCTCCTTTGGATTTCGGCCTTACAATATTGCCTTCATTTTGTTCATGGGGAAATGGAGTCCTCAGATTCACAGGTAGCTTGGGGAAGGTCACCAAGATGGGAAGTGGAGAGATGGTATAAGAGATCTCAGTCTCTAAGTCCCTTTGCTAGCAGGCCTCAGCCTAAAAGTAGAGAAATGTACAACAAGGACAGAATGCGGCCTCAGGTGCAGAGAGAGAGTTTATTCTTCAAAGCTGTTACTTGCTTCCTGGGCCACCACTTTTGTTTTCTGAAATTGAAGAGTAGAGAGACAGAAGGACAGGGGCAGGGACCCCACCCAAATCTACAGTCAATTAATTATTCATAAATCTTTGACTTTAGGGAGTGGTCACAAACCCAAGTGTGTGTGGGCACCGGCAGAGGCCTTTTGGAAACAGGCCCTGCTGGACCACACACCACAGTGTCTGACATTGTACTTCCGGACAGGGCCAAACTCTGTATTTCTGGAAAGTTCCTGGACATGTTTTTGCTGGCCTACAAATGACACTCTGAGAACTTCTGCTGGAGAGAGTGCTTTCCTCATGATTTTTCCTTTAGTTAAAAAAAATTAGATTAACATACAGTATTATGTTATCTCAGTATTAACATGAGATTTTCAAATAAAATTATATTGTTACTAATTCTCCTCCCTTCTCTCCCACCCACTGTCCCTTCTTGTAAGCCCCAGTCTCTTTTCCACTTTCCTGTCCCATGTGCTTTGTTGTCTTCCCTGCCTTGCTCAACACCTTTAATTCTCTCCTGTGGTCTCCATCCTGGTTTCGTAGCCTGTACCCACACTCACCCCTGCTTATATGCGTGCATATAACCATTGTAAACTAGATCCTCATGAATGAGAAAACACTTAACTAAATGTATGATTTATCCTCCACCCTGTTGCTCCAGATTATAATACCAATACTAATAAAAATGGCAGATGTCCAGATAAAAAAGAGCCTCAGCTTAATGTATAGTATTACAAAAGGCTACGTCAAAAGTCAGGAAGATGCCAAACTTTTGGTAAGGCAAATTTCCGGTCGTGAATCAATCTATCAGGTGAGAAGCAGACATGGGGTTGTGGGGTGGATGGGAATTACCTTTCTTAGATACACTCATATCTTTAAGACATGTGTGACCAACAGAGAGATTTCAGCAAACAGGTCCAGATGTTTGCTATACAAAGTGCTTCAGAAAACAGTCTGAACTGTGTGCTTGTGCATGCATGCACTTATGTGGGGGTATGCTTGAGTGTGTGCATCTTGAACAAAAAAAGACCCAATAAGCAAAAGCAATAGTAATAACCTACCAAACAGAGAATTGAGTGTGCTGAAGGAAGCCACATTTGAACTGGGCACTCATGGAGCCTCATGGAGAAGTTTGTAGTTGTGGAGTCACTCACTACTGGCCATTGATGAGATAGGCATTAAAAATTGAATGAGTCAAAGATGAGTCTCTGGTCCAAGAAGACTTGGCATGTAAAAGTCCACTAAATGACTCAGCTTGCTCCTCCATCCCTAATCAGGGGCAGCCCCTGTTAAACATATTGTTTATAGCATAGTGATTTCAGTCACATACACAGGGATGATTCCTAGGTTTAGTCCTTGGTTCATCTTTTCTCACAACTTTGCTATGAGAATTCCTTGGCATGATTTTCCAAGTTTCCAGTCCAGCCCTCTACTGTGTCCCAGTCCTCTGCTGTGTCCCAGCCCTCTGCTGTGTTCCAGCCTGCTACGTGTTCCTTCTGCTCATTTGCAGACCCATTAAACCATTGTTTTAAAAACTTTGACAAACCGGGCAGTGGTTTGTCAAAGCCACTGACATGCACGGACAAACTGGTGCATGTCTTTAATCCCAGCACTCAGAAGGCAGAGGCAAGTGGATCTCTGTGAATTATAGGCCAGCCTATCCTTTTTCCTGCCTCACTATTGGTCATTCAGCTCTTTATTAGACCAATCGTGTTTTAGACAGGCAAAGTAACACAGCTTCACAGAGTTAAACAAATGCAACATAAAAGAATGCAGGACATCTTTGCATCTTTAAAACAAGTGTTCCACAGCATAAATGAATGTAACACATCTTAAAATAATATTCCACAACACTTGGTGATTCTGGAAACTGGCCTATGACAGTTTACCTGCAGAGAGGTGACAGACATTGCCTCTCTGGTAGTGGTGTCTTTGCAGGCAGGGGCTTCTGTTGCCCAGAATTTCAGTGTGAATATAAACTCAGTTCTGTGTGAAGGAGGCTTATTGTGGTGCAAAAAGGGCTGGCTGTGTGTATGTTGGTGCCATAAGGAGTCTAATAACTATTATTGATATCAAACTGTTTCATAAAGACTACATATCTCATTTGTATATTCAAAGCAAGGGACTTACTAGGTGTAATTTTTAAAATCCCAAAATAGAGAAAAAACAAAAATTTTGTTTTGCTTAAAGTTCAGAAAATAAACCCGTTGTTCCATATAAGTAATCCTGTGGCATGTAGTATCTGAGTGCATTTGCAGGGACCTGTATGTGACAACCCAGGGGACTTTGTGTTGTTGCCTCAGAGTTGTTGGTATGGCTAAGAATATGCTCCAGAAAGATTGACAGTCAGAGTGAGTTTTATGAGGAGCAGTGCCTGGGACACAGTGAGCACCCCACAGTACCTGTTGAGTGATTGCCAAAACAATCACACCATCCGTTTGCCTTGGTGTGGAGCTCCTCCTTCAACCATCTAAGGAGTGGCCTTTAGGGCGCTAGAACTCATTTATGCCTCGTGTTCACATCATCCCACTTGTTTTTGTGCTCTTGGCAAAGTAGATCCCCAGGTAACTGTTCCCTCAGCATATCTTCAAATTGGTCTTTGCTGATGAGAATTCTTAGTGGAGTGGAGTGCAGAGTTCCCTCCCTCCCTCCCTCCCTCCCTCCTTTTGAACTAATAATAGTTACAGTGAAGCATGGTACTTATGCAAAACATCAGCAGTGCAACGTTCACTTGAATTTGAGTCCCGGCCTGGAACTCTCCCCTAAACCAAAGTAAGTGAGAATTCCTGTGATGCTTCTTTAATTTTTACTCAGGTGATGAAGCCAGGATTGTACTTGGTGTAATAAGAACCATTTCTTAATTTCTTACAGAAACTATATGACATTTTAGAAAAAAACAAACGAGAGGCTGTTAAAGAACTAGGTGAGTGGTTGGAGCATTTGGTTTTCTGTTTTGTTTTTCATGTAATCTATAGATTTTTATTTCTGTGTGGTTCTGAAGGCCAGAATCCCAGATGATGCTGCTGTCAAGGCTGGTTTCTGATGAAGACTGGCTTCTTTGGGGGAGGTAAACATGGCTGCCTTATTGCTGTGCCCCATTTGAACTTTTCTGCTTGGGCAGAGGGACTCCGGTGCCTAATTTGTCTAGTGAGATTACATCCTGACAAGGTGGGGGCTCCACCCTTATGGCATCATTTAAGCCTCGTTACCTCTAAATGTGGTCACGTGGATTAGAGCTTCAGCAAGTGACATTGACAGGGCACAATTCTATTCATGACAGAGGAAAAAAGATCTGGGACGAAAAAAGCTCCAAACATCCAGGGAAGTATCTGGATAATTCAACCATAGATAGGTATTTTCTATGTGGGTATATACTGTATTATTTAGGTTTTTCAACTTTCTGCAGTGAGCATTTGTCCTTTTGTAATTGGGAAGGTTGCACTGAGCTGCAATACCTGTCTCCCTGCGGGGGCTTTTTCCTGACAGATGCTCCTCAGGGCTCTCACGCTCTGCTCTGTGGATGGATGCCTTATCCTCACCACAAGATCCTCATTCCACTTGGAGCAATGTAAATACAGGAACATCATAGAATAGCTTTGTTGTTTCATGTAGGGCTGGTGCCTCACATAGGGCATTACAGGCTGTGAAGTCTTACACTGCATGTTCTCATTCATTCATTTATCCAACTGGTATTCGCTGACCACATGCTTTCCCAAAGATGGGAAAGCAATATTGGGTAGATTCAGATTCTTAAAAAAAAAAAAAAAAAAAAAAAAGTACATGCTGGTACAATGTCTGAGCATGCCAAAGGATGCCACTGCAGAACATTGTCGAAGGATATTTAACTATATAAAGATGCGCTACATTTGTTTATGCTGTGTAAAGGTGTGTTACATTTGCTTCTGTTGCATTTGTTTAATGATGTAAGGATGTGCTGCATTTGTTTCTGCTGTATTTAATTATGAAAAGATGTGTTGCTGTTTCGCCTTGCCTGCCTAAGGCACCTGATTGGTCTAATAAAAAAAGCTGAATGGCCAATAGCTAAGCAGAAGAGGGATAGGTGGGGCTGGTGGGCAGAAAGAATAAGTAGGAGGAGAACTCTAAGACTGGAAGAGAAGAAGAGAACAGGGAGAAAGAGAGCAACATGCCTGGGCAGCCACCAGCTAGGCACACATAGAGACAGTAGGAAACTAAGACATATAGAAAGGAAGAAAAAAAGAAAGAAAGGAAGGAAGGAGGGAGGGAAGGAAGGAAAGGTAATAAGCTCTGTGGCAAAAAATAGGTGAAGAGAAACAGGTTAATTTAAGTTAAAAGAGCTAGCCAGAAATGAGCCTAAGCTAGGCCGAGCATTCATATATAATAAGACGTCTCCATGTCATGATTTGGGAGTTGGGTGGTGGTCCCCCCAAAAGAAAGCCTGGTACAGAACATCAGAGGGATCCTATCAGCTGCTGTGTCAGTGTAAGGAAAGGGTGGAAGCCCAGGTATCTGTTCAGATGGCAAAGTCAGAGTCCTCAAGGTTTTTAGGAAAAGCCACGTGAAGATTACCTTTGACAAGAAGTTGTTTTGCTTAGTTTGGTTAGCTGGCGTGAGGTTACATGACTAGTAAATGGCGGTCAGATCTCTAACTCTTTTGGATCTAGTACTAAAACCCATGCTCTACATCGTAGCTACCCTTTGTTTTACTAACCAATTCATTTTAGTGAAAAAATGTGCAAGTACCTTCCATACATATATCAGACTTCATGCTCAATGAAAAGTGACACATGAAATGTTAATTTTGGCCAGGAGTCTAGTCCCTGATTTCTTATGTTTATTAAAAGGGAACGAGTATTGAACTTGATCTCACAAGACCCATCCACCTAAGTCCAGATGCTTTTTTGAATGAAAGTTTTTTAGTCATCCAACCAACAAAAAGTATGTAGAGGATGAGACAGAGACATCAAAACAGCACTCGAGTGAAATGAGTTTTGGCATAGAAATAGGTAGGAGATGCCATGGATAAGACAGAGGGTGGTTTAGTTGTGGGGGAAGCTAGCTTTCAATTTTCTCATGCATGCGATGGGGATGCAAATTCTCCCTACCACCTCAGGAGTTCTGTGTGAAGCCAGAATGAAAGGCTATGTACAAATACTCTGGGCATTCTAATACAATACTAGTTGTTGTGGTTGTTGCATGGGTTGCCTACTAAATCAAACTTTTTTCAGGACTCATAGAGCACGAAGGCCGAGATGTTGTCATTGCTCTCAAGACAAAGCAGGCAATCCGCAATGTGATTGCTAAAGCCCTGAAAAATCTCACCTTCCTCTGGTCAAGAGGCATCATTGATAAGCATGAAGGCATTGAGATGAATAAGGTAGTAACGCAGTTCCCACCTTGATTGCTTCCGTAAGCTCAGGTGTCCCAGGATGTAATGAGAGAAGGTGTCTGGGGAAAGCATTTAACCACACACAGGTGCTGCCTTGATAAGTTCCGGCAGCATCTTCAATGCCTGTGGCAATCAAAGCCAGTGCTGCCCAGCATACTCCAGCAGTTGGAATGCTTTGGCTGCAAACGACAGAAGCCAATTGCAGCTAAAGTCAGTGAAGAAGCAGGCATGGGGATTTAAGAAAAAGGACTTAGAGGACTTGCAGGCCATGTGGCCAGGCTTCAGGAATGGACCTGAAGAAAGTCTTAGAAAAATTTCCAGATTCCTTACTTCTATCAGGATTGTCTCTGAAATCTTCCTCTGTCTTGTTCTCTAGACTCAGCAGATTTATTTACTTCATTTATTTCTGCTTCTCCATTTGCTGGTGGAGTTTGTACTGCATCACTCCACTGACTGGGGCATCCACGCAGACCATAACATAGTATTTGGAGGGGACCAGCTGTTTGTGTGTGCTGTGTAAGACAGGGTAGGATATAATAATTAAATTATAAAGATGACAAGTTTGACCTGAGTTAATAAGTGAAAATAAGAGGAATATAATAGGAACAAAACGGATATAATACACATGGTGTCAGGGGGAGAGGGCGGTGGACTGTGAATCAAAACTCAAGTTAACAAAACTTAGTTAGATTTCCTTGGTTTTTACTTCACGTCCATTTTTTTTTGTCACATGTTTATTTTTAGGTACTTCTTACAAAAATAAAAGCCTTGAATAACTTTCCAATGGCAATCCCGCCTCCAACCCCAGACAAATACCTGCCCAACATTGTTTGGATGGAAAATAAAGATGTTCTCATTGATTTCTTCAAGGTAATAAGGTCTTCCATTCTGGCTCAGGCTTGATGTAAGCATTTTCTTTCCCTTGCCCCAACCAATGACTAAAGAAAAGCATATCAAAAACATAACTTGAGTTAAATTTAAGCCCTGTACCTCCCCCGACCCCCTTGTTTTGGTTGAAGACCTCAGGAACCTAATTTATTGTGGTTGCTTTCATAGAGAAGAGCCATTTGGCTATCTTGATTTGCTATAGCAAAGTGTCATAGACGAAGTGGCTTTCAAACAACAGAAACTTACTTCTCACAGTTATGGAATCTGGGAAGTCACGGCATGATCAGATGTGGTGTCTGGTGAGAGTCTGCATCTGGTTCATAAATGATATCTTCTCTATGTCTCCATCTGACAGAAGGGGCAGGAGGGTTGGCTCCATGGTGCTTCTTTCATAAGGGCACTAATCCCAAACACGTGGGCTTCATTCACCCTTATGACCTAAGCACTTCCCAAAGGCCCTACCTCCTAAAACCCTCATGCTGGAACCTGGGATTTAAACACAGGAATTCTCGGGAGATACGAGCATTCAGTCTATAACATTAGGCAGGGCAGAAGCGCCTAACAGGAATCTGTGGACTTTGTTTTTTTCCTAGTGCTTAGGTGGAACACATGGGCTCTCGAATCCTAAGTTCTTTGCTTCAGTTCAGACTCTTGGGAAGTCCAGTTGGTGCAGCTTGCAGCAGCTGTCCAGAGGGAACCCTGGTTGGCAGGATTCCCTGGGGGTGGTTTGGAAAAACAGATGGTGTCTAGCAAATGGGAGGACGTAGCGTGGGACTGGGAAGAAGGAATTGAAAGTTGCTTGTTAAAACTCACATCCCATGCAGCTTATTTTTTTTTTTTTTATTTTTATTTTTTTCCTGAGACAGGGTTTCTCTGTGGCTTTGTAGGCTGTCCTGGAACTGGCTCTTGTAGACCAGGCTGGTCTCGAACTCACAGATATCCGCCTGCCTCTGCCTCCCGAGTGTTGGGATTAAAGGCATACGCCACCAATGCCCCGCACAGTTCTTTTTTTTTTTTTTTTAAGTAGAATTTTAAGATAAAGTTAGAATTTGGTTCCTTATAGCTAATAATTTTCACAATGACTGACTGACCACCCAGGAACGAACTGGGAGTCATGGTAAAGAGCATGAGAAGATAACTCCACACACTATTGACTCACAGTCATCTAATGTACAGCCCAGCAAGCCTTTCTCCCCTCTGCAATTAGTCATACTACTGCTGGTAGATTTTCTCCCCCGCCTACAGACGCCATTCATTGTTTAAGTGGCTCCTTGCTTTAATATTTTGCCATGTAAGTCAGATTTCACTGTAACACAAATGATAAAAAATCAGCCACAGATATTGGGGTTCAAGCTGAAGATCAGAAAAGCAAAGCAGTTGGCCACTAGCTCTTACCTCAGACTGAAAGGGGTGATCTTGTCTCCACAAATCCTCAAAGTGTGATGTAGACTGCACTGCTCTCCACCAAGACTACAATCTTCCGAGTTCCTGTCTCCTCCTGCCTTATATTCCTCTCCACCCAGCCTTATCACTCCTGTCTCTACCTCCATAGTGCTATGATTAAAGGTGTGTGATCCCAAGTGCTGAGATCACTTTTGTGTAGCTCAAATCTGTGCAGATAGAAATCGGTCTGCCTCTGTCTCCTAAGTCCTGGGATTAAAGTTGTGTACCTGGTCTCTATGGCTAGCTAGTATGGCTTCTGGGATTAAATGTGTGTATCACTACTGCCTGGCTCGTGCCTGTGGCTAGCTTTGCGTTTTGATCTCCAGTTGCTTTATTAGATCACAAACAATGTATCACCAAATTTCACCAAGATAAAAATCACACCCGATCGGGAATTTGTGTATGTCCTTTTTAATCAGGACTAGCCCAGCACTCTTGCCTGGGTTAACAAATCCACATGGTAAAACAGTAGAAGCATCTCTTATTGTAGACGAGTTCATTCTTACTATCTGTCATAGCTACAAGGAGAAAAAATTATGAAGCTAATTTTCTCTACTGCTCCCTGCTTCCAACTCCCAACTATGAATTCATTAAAATGACATTCATCAGTATTGGGAGATAGCTCCAAGATAAAGCATGTGTTGTACCAGCATGAGGATCTGAGTTCAGATCCCCAGAACCCATGAGAAGTTGGGTGTAGTAGCACACATGTACAATTCCATTGTCCCTAGGTGAGATAGAAGGCGGAGACAGGAGAATTCCTGCCAACTCCCAGATCAGCTATCATTGTGTAGCAGTGAACAAAGAAAAAGAGACCTTGTCTCAAACTTAGTAGCAGGAGAGGACCCACACACACACACACACACACACACACACACACACACACACGAGAATAGTCTATAAAGATAACTGCAAATATAATGGTAGAGAATCAAGGCTGACATAATACATAAAGCAAGTAATTAAGCTTAGGTAAGCCCTTGGATTTTTAACTGTAGAATTGCCGGTGCTAGTGTGCCATCACACAGTTCAAAAACACGTCAACTGGGAGGTGAGAGGTACTTTCTTGGGTCTTTACTCCATGCTCTGAGATAGCAAGTATGGGTGATTTGGAAACCTGTTTACTGCATGTACTTCTCAAATGCTAACTGCTGCCACAATTTTCCTATTAAAATCCCTTAAGTGGATCACTTTGGTTAAAGCCCAAACTCTTCAATGCCCATGAGCCTCTTCTAGAACTGGCTCTAGACTTGTCTCCAATGGGGCTATGTTATGTCTTTTGTGGGCCCTTAGCAATTTTGCTTTGGCAGGCCTATTCCTTCTCAAAAAATATGTAGAAATCTCTGCTTTATATCTGTTGGTGTTATTATGAAATTAAGCATATTAGCCTGGGGAGATGGTAAAGTGTTGCCATGGCAAGCATGTGAACCTGAGTTTGAGTCCCTAGAATGCATATACAGCTGGACAAGGTAGCACTCCTCAGGAATCCCAGTGCTTGTTGTGAGACAGCAAAATTCCTGGAAGCTTGTGGCCAGATAGCCTACTACACACCGTGTCTCAAGAGACCCCGTTTCAAACAAGGTGGAAGGCAAAGACAGACACCCAAGACTGTCTTCTGACTTCACCTGCAATACACACACAAACACATACATGGACACACATTATACATATCAACACACGCATCACACATACACCAAAAATGAATATATTAAAACACTTTCTTTACAAAAAAAGCATTATTATCATTACTGTTTTAAAAGAATTTAAACATTTTTGTGAATTCATAAAGGATGTAGCGCCCCAGGTACCTACAATGCTACTGATGCCTTGTGATAGCTAAGGCTGGTCTCTGGTCCTGCTTGAGATATATGGAATCTTTTGCAGTTATCCCAGCTGTATACACTGTGTTTGCTACTAGGTCTTTTCATATCAATCTGCCCTCTGCTGCTCTTCTTTCAGGCCTCAACTTACCTATCCCTGCCTTGCTAGTGGAGGTACTGCAAACAACTGGGAGAAACCCTGTATCCTTTCTTCACTTGTCCCCAAGTGCTGTGTTCCTGTCTGCTTTACTACAGCCATCACACTTCATTGACAACACCTTCCCCAACTAACTAAGAGACCCTTCTGTGGCCAAGAAGTTGATTGCCTGGTTTGACATTCATAGGCCAAGCCCCAGTGAGGGCTAATTACTACCTTATTTGTTCATTTGCTCAATCACCCCCTAAACATTTACTGGGTGCTAGCATTATTTGCTGTGTTAAGTGCTGATCACAAGGTCTTTCCTTGTTTGCCTGTATTTTTATTCCTTAAAATTGAAATGATATGTGTATTACTATAACTAACAACCCCAGAATATGTTTTCCATTTTATGCTACATGAAAACCATCTTCAATTTTAAAAAGTTAATTTGTGTTTAGACAAGTGGCCTATGAACTTTTAGGTTTCACTCTCTCCCTATTTTATTTTTTCATCCAGGAAAGAACTAGACTTACCTATTTTGACTATGGAGATATCATCTGTAGAGAAGGTGAAATGCCACAAGGAATCTTTTTAATCATTTCAGGAATGGCAAGTGTAAGAACAATTACATTTTCTCTATTTAAAATATGTTTTGAATATACTGTTGTAATTTAGGGGTGAGTTCTGGAGCTGAAAAGTTTGAAATTGTGAGTCTCCCCCACATGAAAGCATTTCCATGGCGAGGAAGTGTGAGGGTTGAGACAGCATTGTCACAATTAATACTCGAATGTGCTTCCCGTTTTACAAAGTGCACTCAGCGTGGTTATTTACACTTACTCACAACAAAGCTGGAGGAATTAGTGGTGCGAGGATGTTCAGAGGTGGGAACCAGTAAGTACTTGGAATCATTTACCTAAATGAGAGTTCAGGCATAAGAACTTGGCTGCAACTCAGACCTCACAGAGGTCCAGGTGGATGAAGATCAAAATAAAACTTCTCAGTTGCTATAAGGAGACTTTTGTTTGAGGAGAGAGAGATGGATATAGAGACACAGAGAGAGAGACAAAGAGACTGAGAGACAGAGACACAAAAAGACAGAGAAACTGAGAGAGATATACAGAAAGACAGAGATATACAGAGACACAGAGAGGGAGACTGAGAGAAGACAGAGATATACAGAGAGACAGAGACAGAGAGACTGAGAGACAGAGATATACAGAGAGACAGAGACACAGAGAGGTACAGAGAAACTGAGAGACAGAGCTACACACAGAGACAGAGAGAGAGCTACACACAGAGAGACAGAGACACAAAGATATACAGAGAGAGACAGAGAGGAGTGAAAAAGGGAATATGAATTCAATAGTGTGATGGGGGCAAGAATCCTGTCTCTTCCTTCATACTGATACCTCGGTAGCTGACTACAGTGGTCCGAGTGGCTTATACACTGATCAGCTTCTATTTCCCAGCTGATGCGCTTATGTGACAAACCTTTATCCTAGGAAAGAGAATATATTTACCTTCCAAATTATAAAATCAGTGTTTTAGACCTTTCACTCTGATGAAAATAAACTACTGTGATGAAATAATATGAAGAAAATGTAATGCCAAGAATCTGATTCTAGGCAGTTTTGTTAATTGATTAAAAGGCCATTTTGTTACTGTCACAGCAAGCACTGGTCATTCTAGGTAGAGGATTGAAAAAACTGACAAAAATCTCAGCTCATTTAGAATTTATTTTCCAATGGAAGGACAAAAGGAGAGGACACAATGTACAAAATAAATGAGATGTATAGACATTTAGGATTGTAAAAGAGGTGTCCTAGGAATTAGGATTTCTCTAGGAAAACTTTATACTGGGAATGAAGATGTCCCACCTATAGGACCTCTAATGCAAAGAGTGAACAAACTCATCATTGCTTGCCTATGTTGCCCCTCCTTTTTTCATTCTTGTAAAGTACAGAGTTCTGCCTAGGGAATGGTGTTACCCACAGTGACTGGGTCAATAACCAATCAAGATATCCCTCACAGACATGTCCACCGATGAGCTTGGTTTAGATATTTCCTCAACTGAGACTCATCTCAGGTGATTCTAGGTTATGAAAAGTTGACAGGCTTTGTGTGTGTGTGTGTGTTTCTGGTAACAAAACTAGTGGCCATTAAGAAACAATATCTTGAATTTTTTGGATATGGCACTCCCAGAATCTCACCCTGGCTATCTGGTCCTGAGAAATTTGTTTGTTTTGTTATTTGAGGCAGGATTTCTAAGTACAGACTTGGTTGTCCTGGAACTGACTCTGTAGACCAGACTTAACTCAGACACAGAGATCTACCTGCCTCTGCCTCCCAAATGCTGGGATTATAGAAGTGTGCCACTGTTCTCTCTCTCCTCACATCACCAGTGTCTCTCATTGCCTACGAAGAAAACAACATAGCATAACGAATAGGACATTTAATTTATTTACAGCTTTGTCCACTACCATAATCTGTCCAGGCATTTCTCATAAAAATGAACAGAACATAAAATCCAGGAAATATATACATGGTGGTAGTTTTTCTCTTGGGAAATGAGTCTTCAGACTAGGGATTCTGAGGGTGGTTCATCCTTATTCTCAGCATGGGAATCCCAATTTCTAGACCCCTGTGTCCTCTGATGTTTGGAATCAGATTTTGGTATATCTATAATGAGATCTCTTTGGAGTAATGTTCAAGTCTAAACATGAAATTTGTTTTTGTTTCTTGTATGCCTTCTACATATCTTAAAGGCAATTTTATGTAGTATTTTTATTGTGCCTACATTTTGACTGTGATCCACCATGTAAGGTCAAGTGTAGAATTTCCCATCAGTGGTGTTTTTTCAGTCCACAGTTATTTACAGGTTTTGGAGCATGTTGGGTTTCCACTAACTTAGATTAGGGCTCTCCAACCAGTAGTACATTAAAAGGATGCAGACTGGAAGAGGTTAGTTTTAATTTTTATAAAAGTAATCAAGAAAGACAATGCGTTTTGTTATTTAATCTTTATAAGAATCTTGGGGTTTCTGTTTGTTTGTTTGTTTTGCTTTGTTTTTCAGTGCTTAGGATTGAACTTGAGTCCTCAAGCATGTTAGGCAAGTGCTGCACCCCTGAGCTACATCCCTAGCCCAACAACTTTTACTTTTTATGTGGAGAAAACCTTGGCCTTGAAGTGTTCAACTATGAAATAAACCATGACTTGTGTGGAAGTCAATTCTTTCATTCATTCTTGACACATCTCATTAAAGAATCATTGGCTTTCTCTAGAACAATTGCAAGAAAGAGTAGAGGATGTTGATATACTCAAAGAACTTGACGCTTTTATTTCCTTCTCATAATCTCCCCACTACAGTTGCATAGCTCATCTCCCACCTTTGGGATAGACGCAAGCCCGAGGTTTGAAAGGCAGTTCAAGACTATGTATACAGAGTACTGCACCAGTGGGGAAGTACTTGGCGAGCTGAGCTGTTTGCTTAAGCGTGAAATTGAATTTACTGCCATCTGTGAAACTACTTTGCAGGTACAAAATAGTTTGCTTGTAGGTTATTAGTTAATCCTTAACAAGGAATGACAGTATCTTTTCTTTGCTTGGGGTCTGATATTTTATTTGATCACTTGATCAGCTGATGCCAGCAGTATAGAAGAGCTCAGAGAAGAGAGACTTAATCTCTCACATTTGAGGCTCTGCTGAGCTCTGTCGCAACTGGCCTGTGAATGAGTTATTTAACCTCCTTGAGTCTTGATTTCCTTATTATTTAAGCAGAGAGGATGCCTGTCCTTTGATGTTATTGAGATTAGAAAATCATCTGTATTTTAATGCTGTGTTAATTGTCACCATTCTGAAAGCAGTATTTGAAAAGAACTCATTTGTTTTCAAACTCTCTTCCTTTTGTTTACACTTGACAAGTAATACGCTATTTGTTCAACAAATAAGTAACCTGAATTCCCATTTGGGGTGGAAAATCCCAATAAAAAGGATCTAAAGGTCCCATTACAAATTGTTCTCAGTTTTGAGGCTGATAGAAGGAACAGTGTGTTATGGGAATGTAGAGCTGCAGAAAGGAATGATAAATCATCAAATTATACCATGTTGTTTCTGGACAAGAGAAGGGGTGTGTGTAGTCACAGGTCTGAATGAACTCATGACAATTCATTTAGCTCGAATTCTGACAGAGTACAAGGAATTTGCCTCTGAAAGGGACACTGTAAGTAAGGAGCACTGTGGATTAGCTGCTGTGAGAGATAAGGTCCTGAATCTTAGGCTCATGAGCCAAAATTTCAACGTACTTATTGAGTGATGAATATCTGGGTATATTAAAAAATTGTTTTTTATTTTTAAATATGAGTAGGTGTGTACATGTGTGTATGAGAGTACAGATGCCGGGAGAGAACAGAGGTGTTGGATCTCCAAGAGTTGCACTTATGGATAGTTGTGAGCCACTTGATGTGGGTGCTGGGAACCAAACCTGGGTCCTCTGGAGAAAAACCAGTGCTCTTAACTGCTGAGCCATCTCTACAGCCCCTCTGGGGCTACTTTTTAAGTGTATACCTTTTGCTGTACCACAAATTTTATCATCTTATGTAATCTTTCCACAATGCTAATTCTTTTAAATATTAGAGTATCAGATTGGTGCTAGAGTATCATAGAGTTAGTAATTGGCTGTTTGAGAAGATGGTGACCATCTTGTTTAATGACTGACTATAATTTAGCTGTCTGTGTCTTGATATCTTGTTATTTCAGGCCTTTTTCATCTCCTTGGAGGATTTATATGAAGGTTTTGATGTCTTCTGGCCATCTCTGGAATATAAAATATGGCTCAACTTGGCTCTTGTTACTGCGAGTCAGTATTTTGAACATGATATTGCTGGTGAGGTAAGTTATGGGAAGAAAATGTCAATACATTTGTAAGTACTAATTTTTTTTAAATAAAGTACATCCCATATTTTTTAGACAACGATAGAAAGGAAGGTGGTGTCTGATTCTTTAAAGTGAGTTTTAACTACTGTTTCATCCTAAATCCCTGTGGGCCATTAATCCTCTTGTCAGAGTTAATTTTTCCAGGCTACCTGAAAGATCCTTTTAAAGAATAGAAATAGAGACTATTAAATGGGTAGATCCTCCCAAAGATGAGCACATCATTAATCAAAAGAAGTTAATGAACAATCCTGGGCATACATCGCTTAGGTTTTCAGAAACTTTGGTGAGAGGACTAAACCCTGTCTGTGAGCTTTTCCCCTAAAGTAGTGGTTCAAGTCTGTCCCAGACCAGTGTCATCTGCAGTTTCATATTTGTAAGTTACTTGTGTTTATTCTCACCCTTACTGTGAGGCAGAAGCCGAGGAAGTGACAGACCTAAAGTTCAACATTTTTTTCTGATTAATTGTAAACCTTGGGTTAAAAACAGTATGTCCTCCAAGCCAGTTCAGGTTTCATTTCCAATATGACCATAATGACTTTTGGTGCCCTGGCTGTGCCGATGCCCCCAGAAAATAAGCACTTCACTTGCCTGTCAGTGACTGACAACCAAAGGCTGCCCTGAAAGCGAGGCTAGCTTCTGCTAACAGGGAGCATCTGGCTCAGGTTTCCCTCCTTGGGTTGTACTTGGGTGCCTTTATCTTCACATAGCATCTCCCCTGTATTCAAGTTTGCTTACAAATTCCCCCAACTCATACGTAGCCTCATCTTACCTAACTGAATAGGCTCTACTTCCAAATAAAGTCATATTCTGGGAAGCTGAAGGTTAGGACTTCAGCTAAAGCTTTTGGGGAGTGGACTCAATTCCACCCACAATAGCTGCTGTTCAGTTCCAAAGTCTACAATTCTGGGCCTTCGTGGATAGCCCAGATGGAGTAAATGCCTTGCTTGCCTTGATTTGGGATTTTTTTTATTATTGCATATTCAGTTATCAAGTGGTCATTTACTTACTACTAGAAGAAACCTATGAGTCTTGAGCCTGGTTAAGCCTAGAAATCCAATAGCTTTGTGTTAGATTTCTGTTTAAATTAAAGGCACGCTCTATGGAACATGAACCATGGAGAGCAGAGAGTATATTAATCATAGAGTTTATTACGATGGGAGAGGGAGAAATGGAAGAACAGAGTAGGACAGAGAAAGAGAGAGAGGTACAGAAAAGTGTAAGAGAAGTAAGAGAAGAGGAAGAGAAGAGGGACAGAGAGTGTAGTTGGGAGAAGAGAAGAGAAGAGCAGAGAGAGTGTAAGTGGGCAAGGGTCTGTCTTTTAAAGGGGTCCTTTGTACCTGCATGTAGACTTAGTTCTCATGGAACCCTGGGCTGACCAGGGTACTGCCTGAGTGGCTTCCGCCAGGTAACAGAGGCAGACCAGCATAATGCCTGAACCTTTCAACATGGCTGATCATATGGTGAAGTGGATGGCTCATTCATCAGACAGGATGACCAAAATCAGGGTCACTTGCAGAAGCCATGCTAAACTCTAAATACGCTCTGTCGACTCCAGGCTCTATGTGCATCCTGACATACTCAAGGAACTCAGACTAGGGCATCTGTTCCCTTCTTGCTAGCATGTATCCATTTGGTTTATAAAAAAATGTCATTTCCTTGTAGGATTTAAAATTTCAGAAGTGTGTGACATCCAATCATGCGTACGTGGAGACTCTGTCAAGCTATAATGAAATGACTCTTAACCATGTGACTATGAAATTCATTGTTCTTGTGTATGGTAATGTAATTAACAGCAAGACAGAAGAGCCACATGTTGCACCCAGCATTATTCCTAAGTCGTGTGAGCAGGTAAGAAGCATAATCTCTAAGGAGCCATTTGCTTTGTATGGTGCTTAATAAGCAGTTTCAAAACTCAGATGACAACAGTTAATTTTGGAGTCAGGATTTAACAGCTGACTGGTGCTTACTGGATGTAAGAACCAAGCAAGTTGCTCAACTGTTTTGACCTTTGGTTTGCTACTAATGTAATGAGGATACTGGCAGCAGCCATTTTGTTAGACTAGTGTGAGGACTAGTTGAGATAATTCAGAATTTAGAGTTTAATCACTGTTCTTTTGCCCCCAGAATTCTGGGAAGCCAATGGGAAGTCCGGTCTTAAATCTCCAATCTTCAGTGTAGGTATAAAAGCAATCCACAGCTTGCTGGCCATTCCCTTCTTTCTAGATGGGGTATTCTAGTCTAGCCATAAGTAAGGAATAGATATTTTTGCTCTGACTTCCATAAGTATGCAGAAGACAATTTTCTAACCTAAGATTTCTTTGAAACAATATGAAAGGGGATTTCAAAGTAAAAGAATAGGGCTTGCCTGGGTCTGTGTGTTGAGTGTTGTAGCCCCAGCAGTTTGGCAGTGAGAGACAGATGTTAGTGAATCGGAGGCCAGCAGCCTGGGCTACATAATAGCTCCTGTCTCAGAACACAAGGAAACAGACAGACAGACAGGCAGGCAGACAGA